AGGGGGTGAGAGGGAAAAGGGGGTGAGCGGGAAAAGGGGGTGAGAGGAAAAAGGGGGTGAGAGGGCAAAGGGGGTGAGCAGGAAAAGGGGTGAGCGGGAAAAGGGGGTGAGAGGGAAAAGGAGGTGAGAGGGAAGGGAGCCCCAGCCTCACCTGTCTTTCTCACCAGTGCCACTGTGCAGGAGACACTTCCATGCAAGAGCAAAACCCCGGTAGCATCCAATCTGTGGATTGAAAGCAGCCCAGATGAAGACAGTAAGCACTAAGCGAAACCACACCACACCAAGTACCAAGTACCAAGATCTCAAAGCACAGCACTTGTTCTGGAGTGTCATGAGGACACCTGGACACCTGAGCAGTGGATATCAATTAGATGGTGTGCCACCTTAGGGACAGAGTCCCTGGTACAGCAAGGCCTTCAGACTGGAGCCCTTCTGACACATGGCTCCTTACCTGCTGACCCTAGATACTGTGTGGCATAACCACAGACTGTTGTTTCAGAGACCCATAAATCTGTATGGACCTACTTTGTGGCATCAGGTATCTGATACTATCATGCCCTCTGCCATTGGGGTCAGTGATTAAGAAGAGAGAGAGAACTCAGCAAGGAAAAAGGCAAGGGAAGAAAAACTGTGGGCCTATGGGATGTCACTGTGAACATGGCACCCATCTGGGTGAGGACTGAACTAGCTGAAGACAGGAGACAGTGCTACTCCCATAACAAACTTTGGTGATTCTGGGCTAGGAATTTTCTGTCTGGGCTGTGACTCCCGCACCCAAGGCCTTGTAGTGGGGAAGAGGTGAGATGCTTTGGCATCAACAGCAAAGGAAGCAGCTGCTGAGGAAAAGGTTCAATGCCTTTGTTCTTTTCCTCTAGGCACTGATTCAAAGCCATGGCCTCGAGAGTGCTGGTGTATGCTCTGCTGTTGAGCCACTTCCCCAGCCTGCTTTTCAAGACAGGATCTCACTCTCTAGCTGAGGCTGGCCTAGAATTCCCTGAATGTTGGGATCACAGGTATGGGCCACCACATTCATCTAAGAAGTCACTTCTAGGTGGCCCTCCCACTTACCTCGGATCCAATTTTGGCTCCATGTAACATGCCATACTGCTTTCCTTCAACGATTCCCAAGCTACTGCCTTCTTCATAGCCTTCCTGATATCCCTCCCCATGGAATCTGTGATTAAAGAAACACACTTCATCAGGCAAGATACTTTTCCTAGAAACTTCTTCCTGCCTTGTATTATCTAGATCCCACTGGATCCAGCAGACTGGGTAGTAGGAAAAGCTTAAAACTCAAGTCACAAAAGACAGGTTCTAGCTGTAGCTCTTCTACTTCCTGGCCCATTACTGTGCCCATTATCCCATTTTTGAGACAGGAGCTCACTATGTAGCCAAGGATGACCTCCAAATCAAGCAGCCCTGCCTCGAGCTCTTGAATGCTGAGATTACAGGTGTGTGCCACCACCTCCAAGAGAAACCATGGTGCATACGGGCTTCGTTCCATGGCAAGCACTCTACTAACCCAGCTATAGCCCCAATCCCTAGAAACCCAGGTTATCATCTGTAACTGTGGGTAAGCTACATGAATGACTACCAAACCAGGCAAAGCACCAGAACCCACAAGAAAAATGTAAAGATACAAACTCAAGCAAGCTTGGAATACACTAAGAATCTACTTTTGACAATGAAGTGAGAGGGTAGGTGCAGCTGAGCATACATGCCATCATAACTCAAGCTGTTTCTAAAACACACTAAAGACCCAGGACTCCACACACCTCTGTAGAGGTACAGAAAATGTCCTCAAGATCAATAGAGTATGCCACCACTGGGATGCTCTGAGTAGATGGGTATTATTGTCTCTAAGAGTTCAACCCTCAAACCGACAATAACTTGGTGACCGCACTGTGGGAGGAATGCTCTGGAAGCCCCATGTGAAGCAGTGAACAGCTCTCCATTTAGGGGTCAGGGGTGGGGGGAGCTGAAGATTGCCTACGCTCCCGCATCTGCCAGGACCCGACTCCCTAAACCGAGCTTGAGCAGTCACCCGAGGAGGTACCCAACCCACAATGAGAAGCCGGCCTGGAAGGCTAAGATGACCGCCCCGCCCAGGCGTTCCCTGAGGACTTTTCTGGATCCAAAGGGGACTGCCCGACATATCCATCAGCAGATCCATGAATACCACCGTATGTGCGGCAATTAATGGACAAGAAAAAGTGGCAGCTCGCAGATGGCGAAGGCGGGTATCCCCGAGGACGGCCCAGCAGCTGCAGGGGCGGGGCGGAGCCGGGTCTCTCTGCCCACCTCTCATCAGCCATCACGACGGCGTCAAATATGTCCTGCTCCACGGCCATGGCGGTGTCTCGGCTCTCCCCGGTCCCTCGCACTCCTGTCATTCTGTGTAGTAATCTCCAGCTGGCGAGACACGACCACAAACACACGGATTGTCAGATTGAAGAAGCCACTTCCGTGTATGCCGCGCGGAGCAGGGCGGGTAAGGACGGCAAGCTAAAGAAGCCAAAAAAAAAAAAAAAAAGCTCACGCCACTGCGCATGGGTAGATGCCACATGGGCGGGGCTAGCCCGAGGGAAGCCTTGCTCCTCCTCCCTGGTACTTCTCGCTCAGTGTGGGTGGAGCGGGTCTGGTCGCTTGGGGCACGTCTTCTGGGTCACGCGCGGGGCCCAGACGAACCCTGCTTTTATTTTCAAAATCCAAACAGATGGAACCGAATTCACAAACGTGGGTCTTAAAGAAATGAGAAAAGTTACCAAAGATCTGGCACAGGGGCGTTCCCAGGAAATGGAGGGAGGGCCCTAGGGGCAGCCTTCAAGGAGGAGGGAGGAGCATCCGGTATTCTTTACTGTCACCTGGCTGTCAATCATCGCATCTGTACACTGCAAGGTAGCCTCGCTGCGGGCTGGAAGCGATTTGATACTGCGATATCCTAAAGGGCAGATAATAAATATTGCCCCCAGCCATGAAAATGTCCTTGGGGGTCTTTGAAAACGAAAAAGGTTGTGTGTGCCAGTTACCTTGTTTTTTTTTGGTCTTTTTGTTATTTTGTCTTTTTTTTTTTTTTTTTTTCAGAGCTGAGGACCGAACCCAGGGCCTTGCGCTTGCTAGGCAAGCGCTCTACCACTGAGCTAAATCCCCAACCCCGAACGTTAGCTCTTGCTGCCAGTATTTAAAGCAAAACTGAAGTATTTCATACACAGTCAACTATCAGATGGTACCGAAGGGCTGGCCGGCAGGAGGAGCCACTTTGTCCAAGTGCTCCAATCCCATAGATGTCCACTCTCCAAAAAGCAGAAATTGAAGTTAGTTTTCTCATCATTTCCATCAGCGATACCTTCCAAAGTATAATTTTAAAGAGTATTCCAGAGTACAGTAAGTTCCTTAGACAACAATTGCTAACAAGTTAATCAGCTTCTGTATGAAAGAGACCAGAGATACATCATTATAATTGGTTGGAGGGCTGAATAAGTAAACGCGCGCACACACACACACACAAAACAACTCCACAACTCCATGGGATTCTATCTCCAGTTCTGAATTTCATCTGTACAAATGAATCCTTAACTATAAAGATGCTTTCAGAAAGATGCTTTTTGAAAATGAGGAGTGCTGTGTCAGATAGAAGAGAAATTTGAGTCTCAAGATGAGCATTGTGGCATGGTGGCTGGAAAAGAGATAAGCCTGAGGAACAGACTAAAAAGGACAAAGGTAAAGTCTCCTCGGGTAAAACTTCCCGTGATAAAAATAGAATCACACACTCAGGGGAGGTTAGAGCAGTAAGTACTCCCCATGATAGGAAAGTATGGTGTGTCAGGAAAAGAAAGGTCTGTGAGTCCCTCACACACTGCTCCTCACACTGCTCACCAGAACAGTTAGAAAAGAGTTAACCATAAAAATAAAAAAAAAAAAAAAGAGGCCAGGTGTGGTGGCAAAGGCCTTCCTCTAATCCCAGCACTTGGGAAGCAGAGGCAGATGGATCTCTGAGAATTTAAAGCCAGCCTGGTCTACAAATCGAGTTCCAGGACAGCCAGGGGTACACAGAGAAATCAAAACCAAAATAAAAAAAAAGAAGGTAGATAAGGTAGATAGAAGAGGCACTTTTCAGTGGATGTGGTTGAGGTGAGTGTGAAACAGCATCCGCTACATGACAGGCTGATCCCATTTCTATGTAAATGAGGCTGGTCTTGAACTTCTGATACCCCTGCTTCCACTTTCTGAATGGGGAGATAAGTGGTTAGCCAAGTAGAGCTGAAACCCTCATGATACCTGCTACCCTCAGGTAGTAGAAAGGGTTGAGCACTTCCTGCACCCAACCTGGGCTGGGATTACAGGACTGCATGCCTCTGGGCATAGCTTCAAAATGTTCCTTTAAACAACTAAAAGTCACAGAGTATTTCATGCTGCAAAAAACCAACCTATTTTAACTGGCAAAGCTGCTTTGGGCTCAGAGTGGGATAAACAAAATTCAATACCAAGGAGCAATATCCTTTGTGTGACAGTTCAAGCAATGATGCTTATGTTTGATAAAGAAGCTAAGAAGGTGGGTACAAAATAGATTCATCCTGGAAGCAGGGTCAGGGACAGGAGCTCCCACTTGTCAGCCCAGTGTGAGAAGCTGAGGGAAGAGAACTGCCATGAATTTGAGGTAAACCTGGGCTACCAAGTGCATTCCAGTCTGGCCTGGGCTAACAAGTGAGACCACATCTCAAAACATAAAATAAAATTGTTTAGAAATAGATAAATGAATGAATAAATTCATCCTAAGAGGAGACAAATAGCAACCTAATGGGTTTTTTGTATGTCACCGAACTGAGCAACAGGTGTCTGGCCTTTAAACTGGGTAGTGTCCCACGAGGAACAGAAGGAATACTGGGAAAGAGCAGCCAGAAGCAGCATCTGCCTTCTGGGATGTGTAAAACGCCCCTAGCCCTCTATTTTGGTGGAATTAAAGGGAGCTTTCATTGTTCACCAATGTATCAATTTGAGCTGACTATTGGTCAGATGGTTCAAAAGGATAAGAAGGTCATTTGAAAGTCTGTCCTCTTTGACCTGGTTATTTGGTTTTGTTTGATTTTTGTCTGAAGGAAGCAGTCAGAGAACAGTGGAGATTTTACATCCTATAATGAGCACTGTGGTGAGACTTGTGAAACTTGTAAAACCTGATGACAGGCGTGGAGACCAGTGCTGTCAGGCACGGGGAGACTCACTTAAGTTCACACAAGATGACAAATGTTAACCATGGCCAGGTCAGGATTTGGGAATCACTATGACCTTCGGACTTCTTCCTGTGTGTTCTTCTCCATGGTTATACAGTGCACACCAGTTACTTCTGGATGTTAAAACCTCCAAAGACATGTATATTTTAAAGGTGAAATGAAGTCTGTTCTGTGATGTTTCCTAAATGTCTTTTACATTTTTACTTTTTCTCATGACCAAATAAAGTCGCAAAACACTTTTCGCACTTACAGAGAGTGGGAAAACAAGCGAGCAGAATGATGTTTCAGCCCTCTGGTCACCCCTTTCTTTTTGTTAATATTGTTACGTTTCCTCCCTGGGTTTCCCCATAAATTTATATCCCCCCAAATGTACCCAGCTTTATGCTCTCAAGACCCCCCCAGGACAATTTGCTTATCCTTGTGTGTTTAAAATACAATCCTGAGGATAAAAGTTATTAGCGGAAATGAAATGTAGCTTTTGCCATAAGAAAATAGTTATGGTAGATGAAGAAGGGGTGACTACTTACAGATAAAGCCTGTAACTACAATGTAACTTTGGGGGGTTCAAGACGGGTTCTCTGTGTATCCCTGGCTGTCCCGGAACTCCATCTGTAAACCAAGCTGGCCTTGAACTCACAGAGATCTGCCTGCCTCTGCCTCCTGAATGCAGGGATCAAAGGCATGTGTCATTACCACTGCTGGGCAGAAGAATCTAACTCTGTGTGTGTGTGTGTGTGTACACATTCACACATGCACAAGTGCGTGCAAAGTGTGGGAGAAAACATATATATCACAAAAATCCAAACTATTGATTCTGACTCTTGGTTTGGAACATGGCTTTGGTGAAATTCACCCTGCCCAGCTTGGTTTCCATCCTAAACATGTTTTGAATCCAGTTTGTCTCAACATCAGTAGCAAAGAGACCCTTTATACAGACCTGAATCTTCAATGTCATGTTTGCAGATTGCTTTATTCTCAATAAGGTCCAGACTTTAAAAATGGAACCTTAAAAGCAGGAGGGGGGGCCTGGGGGCGTGGCTCAGTGGCAGAGCACTTGCCTAGCACTCACGAGGCCCTGGGTTCAATGCCCAGCCCACTCCAAGGAGCTTCCAAAGAGCCAGAATTAATACCGTTTTAAGGTACAAATATTGTTAATTTCTAAATTCTTACATAAGTTTCAAACTCAGTGTTCATTTTAGCAACTGAACATATTAAAGCTGGTTGGGAAAAATCTGAAACACTCTTGCTGATGTCAGGTTTTGGAGGAAATGTGACAGCCACTTCTGTAACACCAGAGAATCACACCCTGGATGATAACACTAGACAAGACAGGTGGCCTGAGAATGACTGGGAAGGGTCAACCGCAGACCTCCTAAGCATGTTCTCAGGTGTCTGGAGAGCTATGTGTGTTCTATTTAGGCCAGTGGTTTCAAAACACTTTCATTGGACTGAGGGTATGGCTCAGTGGCAGGGCATTTGCCCAGCATACACAAGGCTCCCGGTTCAATCCCCAGTGCTACTAGCATGAAATTATTAATATTCCATTTTTACCAAATGTATAAAGGGGATGGTACATCAGCTGCCAGAAGTCTACCACACTAAGACTACGCAATTTTTAAAGTGTTTGTCCTCATATATTTTGAGATTCAGAAAAGTGAAGACGACTCAAGTCAAAAGCAAATTCCTCCAAGTTCAATATTGAAATGTGCTCACTACAGTAATTGATATTTATTGTTATTTTGTTTATTTGTTTTATTTGAGGCAAGGTCTTTGCAGTCTTGGCTAGCCTCAAACTCAGGACAATTCTCCTGCCTCAGCTTTTGGAGTGCTGAGGTTATAGGTGTGTGCGTTTAGCAGTTGGTTTCTTTTCTTTTCTTTTCTATTTTTAATGTTATATCTGCAACAAAAATAATAGGCAAGTAGCAAACCAAACCTGGCCATGAGAACCGCCCTATAGTGATTAGCCTGGAACCATCCATTTTGTTAGAAGGAAGAATAACAAGCTAAAACAAAGATTTTGGTTCAGGAAGAGACCCTAGAAGTATAAACAGGTTTACAGACTGGTGTTAAGAGGCAGGACTTCTGGGATCACATGGTAGCACTGGGTGATGGAACGCTTTTTCTTATGTGAGTCCTGGATCTTGTCACTCAATAATGTGCTCTTTACTTTTCTGGGGACTCAGGTAAGCCTTCCATACTCAGTGGAGAAAGAAAAAAAAACTTAAATTCTTAACAGGAACTCATTAA